CCAATCCTTGTTGCACCGGAGATCACTCCTAGGAAGGGGAGCCTCAGGCAGCTGCTTCCCAACTCACAAGGGAACTGACTCTCATTGATCCCAGTGGATGCTTACCACTAAGGGGGGGTTGCAGACTGCCAGAAATAGTGCAAATTGAGTCCACTTTTAGGGTTAGGGTTAGGGTTAGGGAATCATGGGAACTGTATTTTATTGTGGCACCAGAGCTCTCTAACAGAGAAGGCTCAATGTCTCAGGAAAAAAACAATTGCCATGATTCCCTAGCACTAACCCTAACCCTAAAAATGGACTCAATTTGCACTATTTCTGGCAGTCTGCAACCCCCCTAAGTGGGGCCTAGAGGACTTTCACAATCCCTACATAGCCCCTGAACTGGGCACTGTGTAGGAATACGTAGGAGTTGCAAATGCATAACTGTATGTTGTTGTTAACCGCCTTCAAGTTGCCCCCAAATCATGGTGACCCTGTGGATGAGCCATTGCCAAGCCCCTCTTTCCTCCACTGTTCTGTTCAGGTCCTACAGACTCAGGCCTGTGACCTCCCTGACTGAGTCTAGCCTTCTAGTGTGTTGTCTTCTTTCTATTACCTTTCCAAGCATTATTGTCTTTTCTAGTAAGCCGTGCCTTCTCATGATATTGCCAAAGTATGACAGCCTCAACTTTGTCATCTTGGCTTCCAGGTTTGATCTGTTCTAGCACCCATTTTCTTTGTCTTCTTGGCCCTCCATGGTACTCTCAGCACTATGCTCCAGCACTACATCTCAAATGAATTTATTCTCTTTCTATCATCTTTTCTCACTGTCCAGCTCTCACATCCATACATAATGATGGGAAATACAATGGCTTGGACATTCTCCACTTTTGTGTTCTGAATCAAGTCTTTACACTTGAGGTTCTTAGCTAGTTCTTTCATAGCTGCCCTTCCCAGTCCTAGTCTTCTTCTGATTTTTTTGACTGCAATCTCCGTTGTGGTCAATATTTCATCCAAGGTACAGGATCAAATATATGAACTGTGATATGTAACTTACATGTTACAATATGTAACTGTAGATTGTGTGTGTGTGTATATGTGTTCTGTGCCATCAAACCATTTCTGACTTATGGCAACCCTAAGGCAAACCTGTCTGGAGTTTTCTTGGCAAGTTTCTTCAGAGGATTCTAGCTGTTATTTTTAAATAAGTAAACACTCTGTAGAGTTAAAACCATTTAAAATTTACCGGAAGACAAAAGAAAAAAAACAAAGCAAAACAGAATGCCATGAAAAGCCTATCACAGTCAATTTCTAAAAGCCTGATGGTAAAAGAAATGTTTTAATAATGTTATTACAGTGCTTAATTGTGTTTTAACTTGTATTATACCTCACCTCGAGCCTTGGGGAGAAGCGGGTAAGAATATTTGTTGTTGTTGCTGCTGCTGCTGTTATTTTACTTGCTGATGGAAGAAAGCAAAGAGAAAGCCATTCTTGTTCCCTCCCTAAGAAAGGAATTCTAAAGCCTTGGAGCAGCCACCAAGAAGGACCTCTCTCTTGTTCCCACCAAATGAGCTTAGGGTGGCAGTGGGGCAGAGAGAAGGACCTCTCCTGAAGATCTTGATGCCCCAAAAGACTCATATAGGGAAGTACCATCTTTCAAATAGCCTGAACCCAAGCCATATTGACTGGAGGATGAAAAGGCAAGGCTACAAAATTATGAATGAAGGAAATACTGCAAGACCCTCCCTCCCTATGCACTCGCCTGTCACAAGAGCCATTTTGCTAGGCTATCTGATACAGATACATATGAAGCTGCCACCTTGTTTTCTTCTTGCTGAATGGGAACCTATTTATACCAGAAAGTGTCATTCCTGTTGTTTCCTGCAGCAGCTCAGCAGATTAATGTCTCCAAGGAGCAATGTGTTTCTACTGGACAGGTAAAGCTCACTGCTGATGCTCTTTTGAAAGGTTTCTCTTGGTCTCCCTCCTGTGTGTCATCACTTTAAAAATGTCAGGAAGCGAAAAGCTCTTGAGCGTATGTTGGAGGGGGAAAAGACACACATAACACATGATAAAACAACATTGGCATTTTAGAAAACGCATTTGCTTTCCTGGTTACAGAGCTCTTGAGCTGTTTCCAAGGCTGCAGTCTGTTGTTGCAATGAAACCAATGGTAAAGCTCTTCCTGGACTCGGCCATTTCCAGCTGCTGGTTGCAGAATCACAAGCTTGGACGAGTCTCCCCTGAAAAAGAGAAATTTACTCTGTGAATTTTTCAAAATGATTCAAACAAAAGATGCGGATTTATCTAGTTATCATGTCCTGGATCCAAATACAATTTGCATTCATAAATCTATATATTTTCAACATTATGATGCATTTTTTGAATATATGAATATATATTTTATGATATGCAGTTAGCCCTTCATATCCATTGATTCTACATCCACAGTTTCTAGTTTCTACAGCTTGAAAATACCCCTCCCCCAAAAAAATCCAGAAAGCAAACCTTGATTTTGCCATTTTATTATATAAGGGACACCATTTTACTACGACATTGTATATAATAGGACTTGAACATCCATGGACTCTGGTATCCAGAGGAGATTCTGGAACCAAACCCCAGCAGTTACCAATGGCCCACTATACTCTCTGAATATTGTACATATTTCTGTACTGACATTTGGTTCAAAATCTCCAGAATGGTTTTAACTTATCCAAATGACTTTCATAACCATAAAGGGCAGCAATAAATAATAGTAGTACTGATAGTAGTACTCATAGATATTGTTGTTAAATGCATTTAAGCATCAGATTTTAATAGCCAATAAAAATGAAAAGACCTAAGGGCTAAATCAGAAAATTAAGTAGCATATTGCAGTTCGGATATTCAGATGCCACTAGTTTAAATAATAATACTTTTAAAAAGTGATTTTTAAAGCAATTTTTTGGTTGAACCTATGTTAATGGAAGGATTTGTTTTTGAATGGCATTCCTTGCACTATAAAATAAAGTAATTAAAAGAAGCAACTGACATTGCCTGCTGATCTAACAATGAACAACTGCCAATAAACCCAAACTTAAAATGTTTAAATTCAAATAGTCATTTTTGGTCCAGTAAGAGGACTGGTAAAATAATAATAATTGCCAGACTATATGAATAATCAATTTAAAACAACAACGGTGTATGTTCAAAGTGTAAAAATAGCAGGGAGAAGAGAAGAGAGAGGTGAATCTTGTCTTTTACACAAGGCTAAGGAAAACAAACTTGCCTGCTGTTTCTTGTTAATCACTTTTGCCAACTTGACCGCACTCTGATTTTGCTTGGCCACATGTGTCCCAGTTTCATCTGTAAAATGTTGGAGGATATTTAGAAGATATTCCCTTGAGTATCCAGATCCCAAAGCACACATGTTTATAACATGTTTATAACATGTTTTAAAGACATTTAAGTATTTTAACTGTTTTGAATCCTTTAAAAAATAATATCATTATTTAATTTTTTTTAACTTTTGTAAATTAATGTTTTAGCTTGATTTTTTTTTAAAAAAATTATTGTTAGCTGCCTTGAATCTCATTGTGGAAGGCAGGATATAAATTCAATAAATGAATGAATATGTGGCCTTCAAACAAACAGCACTAGCACTTAGAATTGTGCAAAGAAATGGAGTCAAGGCCACCAAAGTTCACTAAGCACTGGCAAAAATCTGTTGCCATTGCCTAGTTAGTAGACTAGTGAT